TTATCTCATTAATATATTTTAAATCAAGAATTCATAAATATAAATACGTAAAAAAATAAATTAAAAAACATTTTTTTATTATATAGGATAGTGAAATCGGGGAGTTATAAACCGCGAAAAAAATAATTTTTTTTTGGTTATTGCGCAAATATTTTTAATTCATTTCGCACGGTAGCACTTTATCAGGCCGTCACCTTTACCAGTAGCATTTTATCGGACTGTCACCTTTATAGCGTGGAAAAACTATTTCAAATTGGAATACTGATTATGACATAAATAATCATGTATGATTTCAATATTTATCATGTATGATTTCAATATATTATAAGCGGTGGAAAGTTTAAAATAATCAATAAATGCAAATATATTAAAAATGAATATTTATAACTAGATTTAGTACATAAGTTTTTTTTTTGTAAAAACAACATGTTTTCTTATTAATATATTTTATCTTATTAATATATTTTAAATCAAGAATTCATAAGCATAAATACGTAAAAAAATAAATTAAAAAACATTTTTTTATTATATAGGATAGTGAAATCTGGGAGTTATGAACTGCGATAAAAAAAAATTTTTTTTTGGTTATTGCGCAAATATTTTTAATGCATTTCGCGCGGTAGCACTTTATCAGACCGTCACCTTTATCAGTACCATTGTATCGGACTGTCACCTTTATGGCGTGGAAAAACTATTTCAAATCGGAATACTGATTATGACATAAATAATCATGTATGATTTCAATATTTATCATGTATGATTTAAATATATTATAAGCGGTGGAAAGTTTAAAATAATCAATAAATGCAAATATATTAAAAATGAATATTTATAACTAGATTTAATATTTATAACTAGATTTAGTACATAAGTTTAAATTTACATGCATTTTATGTAAAGTATAACGTAAAAATGTGGTTTTTAATTTTTTTAAATATGTATCCCATTCAAAAAATTCTGAATAAATTGCTTAAATTATCATTTTTTGTGAAATATTCAAGAATTTTTTCAATGCGTCATTTCTATAAAAATCTTGAAAAAATTTTTAATTTTACATTTTTTAATTTAAGAATGTTTTTGAATTTAAATATGGAAATAAATTTTTTTTTGTAAAAACATCATTTTTTTCTTATTAATATATTGTATCTTATTAATATATTTTAAATCAAGAATTCATAAGCACAAATACGTAAAGAAATAAATTAAAAAACATTTTTTTATTATATAGGATAGAGAAATCGGGGAGTTATAAACCGCGATAAAAAAAATTTGTTTTTGGTTTAGCGCAAATATTTGGTTATTGCGCAAATATTTTTAATTCATTTCGCGCGGTAGCATTTTATTAGACTGTAACCTTTATGGCGTGGAAAAAAGTGGACAAGAAAAAACGTATTAGACTCTAATTGATGTTATGAAAAATGACTTTTTTTTACAATTTCCGCAGCGAAAGGGCTAGGCGTGCTCCACAATATATGTCGTAAGCCGTAAGAATTAACCAACCATAATCGATTATTACGAGAAAAATCGGCTATGACTGGCCAATTCTTATGACTCTCGACATCTATTGTATGTAGACCAGGTGTTAATGAAAGAGAAAGAGATGCTAAAGTATGCATTCCTCTGTTTAAATCGATTAGTTTATTCAGTCGGGAGTGTACCTCCTCGTCGGGAGCTTACCACAATGCGCGTATTGTTAAATGATTAAAAATTGCAACTTTTCTCAATGAGTCTTGCGTTGCATCTCGTATCCAATATAAATAGATATCTCTCTTCTCTCTCTCTCTCTGAGACGTAAAAACAAATCCTCTCATTAGATACGTCATGAGACTTATGGAGAAAACACATTACAATAATTAATTATTTGTACGCACATTGTGTTTGTAAATTGACTCTGACTGAGAAGAGCATTAACATCTTATTCCATTCTCTTATCCTTCTTACACAAGAAAAAGTACGAAGTGAGCTGCGAACGTTTAAAATGTTCAGGACGGCGCGACGTAGCGAGGAAAAATTACGCAGGAAGGTGTCTGGGAGACCCTTGTATAGAGAAAATGTCACATTTAAGACCTATTGTCGATAATACGCTCGTAACCGGATTTCTTGGGTGATAATTCGAACGAAGCGAGATAGCACGATAGAATATTTAATAAGCTTTTACCCCGCGCGATTTACCGGGCATAGAGACTGGCTTGAGCCACGGGTTCATTCGACTCAGGGAATAACGAAGGCGCGTGTCACTCGCTAAACGCCCTTCGTTATTTATGTTAACCGCCGTTCCGCCAATCACGTCCGACCGCCGCGGCCTTCCATTCCGCTACTCTCGGGATATATCGTAGGCGCGGCGTAGGCCTCGCGGGGCCCCAGACCGATGGTCGGGACCCGACGGGCCCCGTCGGCCGGAAAAACTCGCTCCGCGTGGAAGTGGAGGACGCGCAATGCGCGCTCGCGAGCGCGAGCAGGCAAGCAGACGCGTGTCCGTTTCATTCCCGACGACGTCCACGTCGTCGTTATTATTATCATCGCGTTTTGCATCATCACCATCATCAGCGCTGCCACCTCCGTCATTTACTCGCGCTCTCGCGTATGCATAATGCGCCGGACGGCTCCGGGCGCTTATCACGACTCTCCCCTGTTTATTCATCGGTATTCCGCAAAAGATCGCCAACGATCGTGACCGGGGTTGTTGTGACGGCGTTGCTGAGGCTGTCATAGTACATTAATGTACTATAACACATAGTCTGGAAACAGTACAGGAAGTGAGTTGCTCATTCGCTGTTAATTGACACATTAATTATTCACCCTTCAGGCCTACCCCTTATCACATTGTTCCCTTTCGTTGGGACGCGATATTTCCAACATGTGTAAGCCTGACGTAGAATGATCGAGCGCATTTAAATGATTTCTGCTGCGCGCATCCCTTCAAATTAAGCTTCGTTGCACTTGCGATATCTATAGCTCATAATACGGTATCGGTAC